TATTGTAAATAATTTTTCACTGACTGTGTGTATCTTACTGACATTTTAAATTAAGTTGTGTTTTTTTTAATTCTAATATTAGGAAGCTTGATGCTTTTAGAAATGTGCTTGTCTTCTGTGACTACTCTGTTATGCTTTCAGAACTATTTTTACATCCTTGGTATTGAGAGCTTTAGGATTATTTCACCTATCAAGGGTAATTGGTTTAAAAAATAAAATAATGTGCTGCATGCTGCATTTTGCCTTGAAAGTCAGTAACAGGAAGCGCCCTGGTTTTCAAAAGTTCTGAGTAGTACTTGCCTCCTTTATATGGGAGATGAAGTGGCGTAATTCCTCTAGCTCTATTTCTGTGTTAAAGACCCCCACAAATAAGGACAAATTGACTCATCCTTTGCCATGGAATTGACTGTACACACAGAGCTTTAAATGCACAGAGTGAAAAAACTGGAGAGACATTTTCTCACTAATTTCTTGTTGGTATAATAATTCTTAAGCACTTTTTCCCCTGACATTGTAGTTATACATTTTTCAGACTCTGTGATTTTTTTAAGTCAGTGGTGTCTTGTTAAGAGTTTTGGCATAGTTTGTGAAGAGAAAGGAATCCTCTTCTGTGAGCAATGAGCACACTAGAATTCTATGACAGGCCTTAGGGACAAAAAGTGATTTAAAAAAAATAAATTTTAATTTGGTGTTAAGATTTAGAGCTAACTTAAGGTTAACAAAATAAAGGGATGTTTTAAATATTTTAAAACCAGGACATTCAGTGCTGACATTGTATGTAAAAGCATATTTGGCCTGTAATGATATTATACATTTAACAGCACCATTACGATTGCTCTGCTTTAGTGTTTCATAGTTTCATAGTTTCTAGGGTCGGAAGGGACCTGAGCAGATCATTTAGTCCGACCCCCTGCCACGGCGGGAAGAGCACTGGGGTCAAATGACCCCAGTAAGGTGGTCATCCAACCTCCTCTTAAAAACCCCCAGGGTGGGAGCCTGCACCACCTCACTTGGAAGCTGG